AAAATTGAGCAAACTTGATACTTTAATCCCAAATTGGCATGAATGAATTTTTAAGCTGCAAGTTTGTACCTTTTTGGGTTTCGTCTTGTTCAAGTTGTGACAAATGATGGGATAAGTGAAGGAAACATTTACAGATGAATGTCAACTGGCAGGTATTATATGTTAATTTGCACTTGTCAACCATTAATAAATCTCTACTATTAAAGGTAAACTTACAGATTGACAATATTCTCCTTTTCTCAATAGGAATGCGTTCAAATCTTCAACAGATTACAACGTTATTAATAGACATATTAACGCAAATTAAAAACAAACAACAGTGAATCAACTTTAATACTCTTTACTTCCAGGGAATTGTTCTTATAATAATAATGTTCATCGAGATCAAGGCAACAATCAAAAGAGAAATGAAAACTTTTACTCTTGCAGTTGAGAAATCTTGAAATACGCTGGAACATGATGAATGTTGGACGAAAAGATGAAACTTCAAGTTGAAAAGTTGATGAAATATTTCATTTGCTTTAATAAGTCCAACAAGTTGAACATTTTTCACCTTCTTTTGGCAAAGACAAAGGTTGAAAAGGTTTTCATTAAAGTCGATTAAAGTTTATTAAAGTTTATAACAACGATATAAACTGTTGAAAATAAGTGAAGAAAAAAAGGTTAAAAAATGACGGAAAATATCAAATAACTTCTCATGGGATAGATTTACTAATGATTCACCTATTTTCTTTCGTTTCTCAGTCTTTTCCGACGAAATTGAACACAATTTCATTGTGATGGTTGACAATGATTCTCAATGAATATCATTATCATCATCATCAAAGGGAACAACAATTTTCACCTTATTTAGTTTCACTTTGTCCATTCAACTGGACAACAGAAAAGCTTCAATTATCTTCAACTTTTTTCCCTGTTATTCCTTCATCTTACCTTTTCAATTGTTTTCATGATAAACCTGATTCCCTTGACTACAATTACTCCATGTTGGTTTCAAGTGTAAATAATGTCCTTTTGGACAAATAAGGTTCCATCAAAACTGTGAAGTAAATGATTCAATCGTTCAATGAATCTTTTGCAAAATTTTCATTAAAAAAGAAAAAGAATTTGAAAATTTTCTAAAAACTCGAAAGCAAAAAACTCTGTAAATGTTCATAAATCAGTCGATTATTGGAATGGAACAAAATTTTCAAGAAAATTTTCATTAACAACTTCCGTTGATTAAAGTCGAACCTTTTCTTTGAATCATTTTCACCAACTTTTCATTTACTAATTCATATTCAAGGTTGGAAAAGTTGAGGCAATTGAAGAATCGATAATTTAATTGAGAGAAAAACTGAATTTTATTCAACTTCAACTTCGAAGTGAAAAGTTTCAAAGGTTCATTTAAAAACATTGTTAGACTGTTAATATGATTAAATTGTTGTCACCCTTAAAGGCAAACCAACAATCAAGTAAATTGAGACAAAAAGAGGGAAACTTTTGATCGAAGTTTCAATTTAATCAGAATAACAGAAAAGTCAATTTTACCATTATTCTGATAATGATAATGCACTTTAACATGGAAATATTGAACTTCTTTTTTCTCGATAAACAATTGAATTAAAGATTTGTTGTCTTTTCTCCTTTCAAATTTTCTATCAATTTTTTCGTTCTTCTTGATTCTGATAAAGTTTCATGATTCTGAGAAGTTGAGAGAAAAATTTTGTCGAAATTTTCTCCATCGAATTTTAAATGGATTATTTGGAAATTTATTCATATCGTAATTGAATTTGACAGGCAATTCATTAAACCCTTTTTCGACACTTGGATTGATTATGGTCTAATGACCAATGGTCGGTAATTGGTGATTAATTATGTAGAATTACGATTGATTGTTTTATTGTTTCATTAGTTTCTAAAACTTGTTTCCCTGTTCAGGGAATGAAAGGTAATTAACTTGATAACAATTAGCTAACAAAAACTGTTAATCCATAAACGTTGTTCAACTTTACCAATTTACTTGCAATTAATTGCAACAATAAAATGAATTGTATTATTATTATCATTAAAGGAATAAAAGGAACAAAAGTGGAAATAAAATCGATTCCAATTTTTCTCATTCCATTTGTTTCCATGAAAAAAGCCAGACAATGAACGTGGAATCCATTCAGGGTAGAAAAGGTTCTTGAAATGAATTTAAATTTATCCAACTTTTTCTCATGATCTTGTCAAAAGTGAAATTTGTGTTTATATTTTGCTTCCTTTCCATATTAAGTTGAAGGAAATATTTTTCCAATCATTTTTTATTCAAACATTTTTTCATCCAAACTTTGTTTTTCGTACAATTTTGAATTCTCTGAGAATCGTCGGAAACGCCATAAAAATAGGAAGATTTTTTAATCTTCTAAGTTTTCTTCTTTTCTGTTTTCGCTCGTTTGTTACAGAATCACTTAGAACTGTTTGTAGGTGAAATCTATTAAGAATTTGTTCATTACTGAGTTTAAAAGCTGGGATTAAGTTAAAATCATTAAAGATCTTTCTGAAAATCGATATCTAATTAAGAATGAGAAACTTCGCAACATTTCTGAGTGATTTGGATTACTTTTGATTCAAATTTTCTCTCGTTTTTTGGTTCAGTTTAAAGGGAAAGATCCTTGGGATTCTCCTTTGAAATTGAATACGATTTGTTGGACAATTTATTGTTGGATGAAGAAGTAAATATTTACTCAAATCCATTTTTAATCAAATTTTCCCATGAATTTTGTATGCTAACTCGAGTGATTGAAAGATTGAGATTTCTTTATGGATCAGGAATGGTTATTTTGAACCAACTATTAATCGTTTCCGCGAACAGTTGACGGAAAAGGTCAAAGACTCATGTGGTTAACTACATTATTATGTATCATCGCCTGTAATACAATAATAGTACAACTTTGCCTTTCTGTTTGAATTGGCAAGTATATTTAGCAATAAACTTAACCAGAAAATGGGTAAATTTTTGATGATCGCGAAACGATTGCTTTCCTATTCAGCTGCCATCGAATAAAATTTTCATGAGCTTTTGGCCTGAAATAGGTCAAAGATTGTCCAAATGTGTCTACGTTCAAATCGCCAAGGAATCAAGAAACTGTAGAAAATTAGTTTACAATTTGATTGAAAGGACAGATAATCAAATTCAGGAACAGCTCTTGTGCTAGAGTAATACACCAGAATCTGGTGACGATACCAGATAATGAAATGCTGGGAAAAATTTTGTACAAGTGAGTTGACCTTTTTCTCAGAAATTATATGTTCAGTAGGCTTGAAATCTTTGAGAAATGATTATAGTGGACATTCAAATCAACTTTCAAAAAGTTATTAGTCCATTAAACTTTGTCGACCAATTCCGTCTTCAGTCAGTTCTAATGCTACAGCGCATTTTTACGATTTTTAATCTTCTTTAATCAAATACAGCCGAAGTTTTTTAGTTTATATTCCACGAATTAAATTGATAATTAAAGAAATGGAAATGAAATTTGGTGAAACTTAACTCCACCTTAATCAGGGACCGTTGACAAATTGATTCTCATTATCTGGTATTCAACTGTGAACTTGTCATTGATTAAAAAAGTTTCAATGAATGATTAAACCAAAGGATTGCCCTTAAAGGACATTGATGTAAAAACATCGTAAAAAGTAGTTTCACACAAAGAACTTTTGAATAGTTCGAAAAAAAATATGCAATGGCCGGGAATCGAACCCGGGCCGCCCGCGTGGCAGGCGAGCATTCTACCACTGAACCACCATTGCGACTATACCTTACATTTGAACACAACACTACATAAACTTGAAACTGGGAATGATTGATGGTTCTTGCCTTGAAGGCTCCAAATGCATTAATATCTTCTTTCCTCTTTTTAAATATTTTATGATCGATGATGAATCAGTTCTTTTCCATGTTAATCAGGCATTTGTCATGATAACATTGCCAACAGGTTTAAAAGGTTGATTAAAAGGATTGCTCATTTAATTAGTCTAACAAGTCTGACAACTTTTCTGTATCAACTCTAATGGATTAATCAAGTTGAACAAAGGGTTCATCAGTTTCAATGTAACAAACGTGCCTTTAATTAACAGTAAATCATTTAACCTTAACCTATGGGCATGTTTAGCTCAATTAGTTGATTAACAATTAAAGGCACAAATGGACCTGAAAATGGATTGAGATTGTTTCGTTTTCATTTGAACATACAAATTGATTCAACAATAAAAAAAACTCTAATTTCCAAATCAAATGTTCATTAAATTAGACCGGTGAGAATCAAAAAATGTGTGTTTTTCAATTGAATTAATTTCCAACGTGCGCAAGGTTAATGTTCATGTTTGCAAACATTTAAATTGCTTATTTTATTCAAATCTTGTTCATTCATTGATAATTAGGAAAACGTTTAACAACAAAGTAAATATTATTTTGCTTGATTGTCTTTAATTTGATTCATCAACAACAATCAATCATTTCTTTGAGTAAAGGTAAACATGCATCTCTTCAATTGCAACTTGTTTTTCAAAGAGTAAAGTTCATTGATTATGAAACATTGTCAGCTATTTATCATGTTAATTAGATGATTAGCAAATTAGTTCCGAGTTCAGGTGAATTAGTTTCAAGATAAGCTGAAAAACCCTGAACATGTTTCCCATTATTTGTGAAGGAAAAGGTTTATTGAAAAGGTTTTAATTGTGACAACTTTTGTGTGTTGTGATTAAAGTTAAAGGTTGGCTTTAATTGATTTTATTAACCATTTTGTTAAATGATTAATCAACTTTTATCGATTATGAATCAAATTTCTTTTTGTTTGACAATCTATTGAAAAGGTTGGCTATTTTAAGCTTTTTCAAATCGTTTTTTTGTCAACATTTTACGTTGTTTTCATTGTTTCCTATTTTGGATTAACTTCCGAAATTTGAGTTGATCCATTGATTAATTGTAATTTTTAATATTGAAATTTTTTACCTTTTCTTTTCTTCTCTTCCCTGACTAGGAAGGTTAATTGAAGGTGATTACAAGTGTTTATTGATAATTAATCCAGTCAATCAATGGCTTTTGTTCGTTGCTCCATTTTTATCCTCCTTCTTGGGATTTGGCCTTTGGTTTGGGCTTCAGATTCAGTTGAACCATCATTTGATCATCAGGTGAGCCTTTCATTGGTCATAATTAATCATCTTTTTACGGAAACACAATTTTTGTTAATCAATTGTTGAATGTTGCTAATTTTAGGCTTTAACAATTTTACCATTTATCACCTGAATCTGTTTTTGCTTAAGTTTGTGATTTAAGGATGATGGCCATTCTGAGGCTATTTAAAAGGTCGAAGTAGCTATTAATTTTGGATATTTTATGTTTCCTTAGGCTTTAATTGTTGCTAATTAATTGGAAATTTTAGTTTAACTTTTTGCTTTATTCACGATTCAACTTGTACGACATCTATTGAAGGGAAAGAAAAGCTTTCTTTGTTTACTTGAGATTTTAAATTTTAGATGTTAACTGATCAGTTGTTAATTTTATTTGGTATCAATTGCTTATTTTATTTGTGTTAAATTTATTTAAATGTAATATTTGAACTCTCTTGGTGTTCAAATATGTCACCAAATAGTCTCAGTTTCTCTTTTTTCGTGTTTAAGCCTAAATGAGGTGAGTAAGAAATGTTGTGACTCAAACTTGGTCCAGATCAACCAGTTGATCTCACAGCTGTCAGTGGAATCAGTGAAATGGAAATATTATTTTTCAAATATTATTGAGAGGATTCTTTGTTTTCTGGAAATTTCAAAAAGTCATGGGTATGGCTGAGTGACTTTGAATCTACCTGCAAGGTCTATCACAGTAACCTCTTTTTTTGGTGTTGAGAAAAGATGAGACCACACATGAATATGAAGTACATAATATCAGGCAATTTGGCTTATGTTAAAGACGATTTATTACAGAATGTCAATCAAACGCGCTCTGGCCTTTTGGAGTAACTGGAAAAATAATGAGGGTGGAGGGAAAGTCGAAAGTCATACGTACGAAATGCAAGGAAAAGTGGCAAAGCTTGGTCATAAATATGAACCAAAATATGCAAATTATGTGATTTTATTTGTGAAATGTTTAATCCAAGCTCAGTATATTAAGAGTTCACCAAATACTGTGTGATAAACCACCGGGTATCCTCAAGTCACTCAAACATACACCAGCTCAATCTCAGTGAGCACGCTTTGAGTAAAATTTGAATCAAAAGCTGGAAAATTGATTTCTTTCGTGCCAAATTAATCTGATTTTAATAAGATGAATATTTTTAATTTACAAATGAATTTCGTTATTTTTTCATTGCCAGTTGAACTCTCGTGAAAGTAAGGATGGAAAAGAACGTATTGATGGCTTAAGCTACTTTTTGGATAATCAAAGGTCTCTTATTCCATTAGTTTCATCGCCATCATCTTCATCTTTATCATCATCTTCTTCACCTTTGACTCCATCATCTCCATCATCAGCTTCATCAGTGGCAACTTTATTAAGGAACAGCAACAACAATAATTTGTATGATTTATATGGTACCAAAGGAAACAGTTATTTAGCTACATCAGCTGACGAGAATGAGAAAAATTTTGCTGATGATTATGTTGTCGATTTACCTGGCAAGAGAAGATTTATACCGCTTCGAGGACGTAAGGATGATCTGTTCTTTCATCCAAGATCAGACTCATTTTACACAGCCTTCGATGGCTACAGGAAGAAAGCCGCTTTCACCGGAATGAGAGGTAAAAAGATGGATTTATCTTCACCAGTCAATAATAGGCAAGGAGCATTGATCAGAAACATGATGAACAGGAACGGTTATGGAGCCATGGACGATTCACCTTTGATCAGTTTCGCCAATCTTAATGATGTCGGTGCTTATAAGCGTAGTCGACCTTTTGCCGCCATGCGGGGTAAAAGATCAATTCAAACGTCAAGTAAGTTCCCTGAATTTACTTATAAACGCACCAATTATGGTTATTGTTTACTAATCTTTGTTCTCTCTTTTCATTCATTTTATTCTCTTCTAGATTTGTTACCATTTTAAGGAGCAAAAAAGCAACAGCAATCAAAGAAGATCATGCAAACGATTAAGAAAACAAAAATAATGATAAATCTATAAAAATATTGTTATCAAATTCATATTTATCAGCTAACTTGAAGTTAAACTTAAAATTAGATGTGAATAATATTCAGTAGAGAGCATAAAAATTGTCAACTTTTTATGCTTGTTTTAAAATGGAATCTCTCAAATTAGGCTTGAAAATCAAACTAATTTCAGAGATACCAATTAGTATCCAGAGAATACGATTTTTACTGGCAAAGTGTCAGCAAATAGAGCAAAATTTCGATGTAAAAATTGCTGTTAAATTGGCCTCGATTAAAAAAATCCGCAAAAAATGTTAACAAGTTTGATTACAATATTACAAACTAAGTCAATAACAGTGCTAGTGTGTGTGTTGTCACTCTTAGAGCCATTTTTAGAATTAAAAATGGACTTGAAAATGTTGGAGCGATTGCTAGAGGTCCTAATTCGGGTTGATCACCTAAATCAACCTAAGTCAACCCACCAACAGACAGACAGCGCTTGCCTCCATAGAAGTATTAAACTTCATACTTTGATCCAAAATAAACTCAAATTGTTATGTTCATAAAAGCCAAAGCACGTCCATAACAGTCTAAATTGTTGGAATTTTAATCTTCAACTCATGATGTTTCAACTCAGCAAATCTCAATGATCTAATTTTCATATTTATGAGAAATAAGTGTTAAATGAGTGACAGTTTTTATGCTCTCTACTGTATATTTCAGCCGATCTCTATTCCTTATCGAATATCATTATTTTAATTTTGTGCTATTTATCATATTTATTCATGTTCAATTTGATCATATTCATCACTTAAACTTTTATTTGGAAAATGCTTGTTCAGTTTCGATCTTTTTTGTTTCATTTAGAGTGAAAAATTCATTATTAATTAAATTCTTTTTGATTAAATTTCTCTCAATTATTTCATTCCCTAAATGGATCAATATCACCCCTCAATGCTTCAAATGGTGATTAAGACCCACTTTTTTCAAATAAATCCAACTTCAAATCTCAACAAAGCGCCTGATCTTGCTTGACAATTGAATGTCGATGTCTTTTGATAGATGGCTCTAGCGTTGTGTTTATGTTTATTTCTTCGTGTTTGATGTTTATTTGAAAAGAAGCTCAATTGAAGTTCAATTGTCTTAATCTTGATTACTTATTGATTAGAAGAGATGTTTTTAATGCTAGTTAGGCACATGACGATCTAGTTGTATCTTAGTATCGGGTTTCCACTGTCTTTGTCTTATTACTTCTCTCAGTTTATTCGTTTAAAATCGTGCAATAGCTATTACTACAGTCTTTCGCAACTTCGGAAATGGTCAAGCTTATTATTCCTTGCTATGAAAACCGTCGTGTGGACAATGGTCAGACATACACTGTTTACATGATTGATGTATACCACAACGGATCTTGGCGTCGAATCGAAAAAAGGTATCGAGATTTTTACCAGTTTCACAAGGAATTGAAAAAGATTTGTGTAACACCCAATTTCCCACCAAAAAAGATGAGAAACATGAATAACAACGTGATACAAGAGAGGAGGAAACAATTAGAAAGATATTTACAAGAGCTGTTAACAAATGAATTGGCTCAACCTGCTATTTTCCAATTTCTCTGTTTAAACCAAGAGGAGGTAAAATCTCATAACGAATGGAACCATCTCAGACCACAATCAATGATAGTATTTAAAAATGATTTGATCACTTGTCCATTGGATGGGACAAAATCAAAGCTTCCTGATATTGTTTTACAAGGAGCTCTTGAAGCATTTTACTCTGCAGATAACCATCATTATTGAAATGCTAAAGCAAATATTCACAGCTCTTATTTTTTCAAATTTAAAGTTATTACCCATGGAATTGCTGAGAGCGAAATCACACTGAATCTAAAGTTCTTTTGGAGCGAAGCAAATTAGATTTTTATTTCATCATGTTAAATAACTCGCAAAAATCAAGACTTCTACTTAATCTTTCCTCTTCATCGATGCCAATCTTCAATCCTTCAAGATTCGATTATCTTCCATTGTGCCAACCAGTTAAATGTCCAAACAGACTCAACTAACCAATAATTTTTCGAAGATGTCATATTTTAAAAGCTCGCATCAAGCTATTGCTACTGAAACTTATTTGCTCACAATTTTGGAATGGTCAAGACTCAGCCTGTGAAAGTACACTTGATATCTTATTTTAGTTCTTAGTGAAGTCTTAATCTACTGTTGATTCTTTACATTAACTTTTTACTTATTTACTCGAAAAGAATGATTTTTATACTATTAGAAAATATTCCTTAATTCAACTTTTATAGCAATCATCAAAGGTTTAGCAATTATTGGTTAAATTGCTCATGCTGTTCACTACTTACGCTGATTTTCGTATAAATTATACATCCTGTTACCTTGAATCATCTCAGCTGATTTATACCATAGGAGAAATAATCAAATCATCAGCTAATCGACTCTCTACTTGCATCCATCAAATTGATCAACAATCGCTCGAAATGTTTTCTACTTCAATCATGTTAAACGATTCTCATTTCCTTCTCTTTTGGTCTATCAGTGTGAAACAAGAAACTATCTTTTCATTATACCTTTAATGAATGATTAATGTTAACCATTCCCAAATTTCCACCCCTCTTCCTTTCGTCTCTTTTTTCATCTTTTTTACTCTTGTTTCCTTCATTCATCACTTACTTTTGTCACGATAAACCAAAACAACAACGCCAACCTGATTATCAAAAGGCCAAAGAAGTACAATCATGTGTTAAATTATCTTGAAGTCTCTTTGGTCGTGACTTCAACCAAGGATTCATCCAACAAGTCAATCTGGAGCATAATTTACATCTCATTCCACCCTCAATATGGATCCAATGCGAGTCGAAACCAACCCAAAAAAAGCAACACAGAAATGCTCAAAATTAGGTTCCTTATGATTTATTGAAAACAATATTGTTTACAAGATCATGAGGTCAACAACAATACAATAGAGTTTTCATTATCAAGTAAGACCATCAAGTAAACAACATGAATAGTCTCTATATTCAGTCGCATTTGAATCATTAAATTCACCTGTTGAATCATGTCTATACTGGTTCAGTTCGTTTTGACTATGAACCCAAATCAACGAAGTAAACCTTGATGAAAAACAATCAAGAATAGAATATAAATTAGCAAATTGTATTTCCTTTGGATGTAATATTTTCTCTGTTTAATAATAGTTATGATTCAGTTTAACCTATCCCGTTGTTGCCGCTATTTTACGTCAATTTACGTGAATGTATATAAATGAATAGAAAGAATACAGTAAAAAATAAATTTTCCTAAAAAATTGAAACTTTCTTTTCTTTTTCCTATTCTCATTACTATTCTTTTACTATTTTCTTGCCTTCTCCTTATTATTTGTATTATAAACTCTCAAGAAATGAAGGGTGTGCTCAGTATTTTATCCGAAACTCCTAAAATAGTAACCATAAAGAGCTCCGGAAGTTCAAAGTTGAAATAAAAGAGTAGCATTGAAATAGGTGGATGCTATTTCCGTCAAAAGGAAATCACTTTTTCTTCTCAAGAAAACAAGCTTACAAGGTTTAGCCTTTACCTGCTACAACAATAAACCTATCATCGCCTTTGGAAATGCTAATTTAACATTTCCCAGTCAATAAGACCAAAGAATCAACAATTGTAACCTTTTAGTATATGAGGTCAACCCAAAACTAGAGCTAACAAGTGAGTGTTGGCTGTTGAAGAGACGAGAATCCTGTCTATTTGAAAGTCAATTGTTTCAGTTTGTATACATTTCAAAGATATAAATATAATCCAATTAAATTTGTCAATTAACTTTCACTAACTCAAGTAAAGCAATTGCTAATGTCGGCCTTAATTTTCAGCTGAAGTTTCACATCTGGCTCAGAGCAAGGGAATGACCGGCAAGTTCAAGGAGAAGAGAGCTTCATAAATTGGATTAACTTTTCAGGGTTCAATATTTAATCTTTACGGCTTTGGAGCTCCTTGAAAAAGGATAACTCAGTCTTCAGTTAAATTGGAAAAATCAGCTCAGAAATATTAATCTCTAATAAGAACAGCTTCAATTAGCTTTACAGTTTAGCTTTACATTGGGTCTTAATTCATCATTGAGATAACCTTTGTTTGTCAGTTTTTGCTGAGATTCTAGTTTCACCGAAACTCTACATTAGTTAATTATCATCATTATTATTGCTAATAATAACTAAACCTCTCCCATTTTGCTCTCTTTTATCCTCTTCGCCATCTATTCTTCATCTTTCTCTGACTTTTGTACCTTTCATCACGATTACCTTTCACCTCGCAAAGGTTGATCATTTGTAAATTATACATTCAACAAATTCGTGATCAATTTCAAGGTTAATCTAGCCAAGTCTAGTTAAATCATCATAATCATTTGTCTCACTATTATCCTCTTAATCACCACCTTACAGATTCAAGCCAAGCCTTGATACAAAACCAGATAATCAAATTTTATCCCCATTTAATATTTAGCCTGGCTTTGGATGGGAAAAGGTATAAAATTAATTTAAATTTACAAAGAAAATGGAAACTTTGTTTCATTGAATATAAAAAAATTTATTTTTCAATCTTAATTCACAGTTTATCCTTATTTTAGCGTTTTTTACATTAAAGTATAACCATTACATTATACTATTTACAAGACTTGATATTGTACAAGCAGTGAAGAGATTCAGTTTGCCAATTTGTTTAATTTTCATGAAAACAAAAGACATTTTCAAAAGATTAATTACAACAGAGATTCCAGAAAAAAATATCAGTTATTATACATTTAGGTGAAAAAATAAAGGATTTGAATATATTATTACATTTTGTAAATAATTTTAGTTGACTTCGCAAGCCCAGTTTTTTTATTGATCTGGGCTTGGTGATGATAAAGATGAGAAAAGATGAAAACATAATGCATAGTGGAAGAAAACGAAGGAAGATGCAGCATAATTTTGTTGATCATCATGATGATGCCCATTTCCTTTACAAATTGTTATTCTTATAACCATTATAAGTAAAACCGTTGTTTCGTTCGTATTAATACATATTGTATAAGATTCTTTTCTTTTTCTTGTTGCTTGCTTCTTATCTTTCAAATGAAAAACTCGGGTGTGATCAGTTTAAAAAAACATCAGCGGAAGTTTATGGAGGAGAAAATTTGGAGAAAAGAAAATAGGTGGACGCCATTTCCGTTCGAAGAGAATCCAAACTTTTTTGGTAGACTAAGAATACATAATTAAAATTAGTCTCTTGTTTTATAAATTTACTGTGTGAATGTATTCTTGATTCCTTGCACTTGATGTTGCCCTTTTTGCTTGTAAAATGTCAATACAAGATGAAGCAGGAAAAACAGGATAAAAACTTTGCCAATGAGTTATGAGAAAAGTTGCTGACAATTTTGATGTTCAAGATTAAATCAGATTTCAATTTCTCATTACATCATGGTTAATAGAGGCTTTGGTTTGAGCTTTCATTAGTCTTGGACTGTTCTTTTGAATGTCAAATAGGCAGCTTTGGTAAGTAATGTTACAGTTTTAAAGTAGAAACGATTTTTTTTCACTTCACGAAAAAAAACTTTCCCTTGACTGTAGAGTTTTGAAAATGTAGAAAATGATAACATGTATGAAATCATGGCAATATTTCCTTCTGTTGATTCTTCCATTTTTTTACGTTTAAGTTTATGTTCATGAGGAGATGTTATCTCTTCTCGACCAGAATGAACCTCGTTTGATTAGATTTCACTTTGACTGTTGTTGATCGATGAAAAGGATTTACCTTTCCATAATCGTGTTGCTCTTAACGATGATAATAGTAACCAATTTATAGATGATATCGAGATAAAACTTGAATGTGTAAAGACGGGAAACGAATGTTTTAAGCATAATAAGTTCTGATAACATCCAAAATTCGTGCTCGACAAAGAGGACATCGACCACCATTTTGCCCTTTCCATTGTTTAACTGCACAATCGTAACACATACACATATGACCACAAGTGTAGAGGACACAATTAATGGGCGCCTCAAAACAAACTGTGCATTCCGACTCAACATTCAAAGATCCTGAATAGAAGAAAAGATAAGAAAATTATTAGTAAATTGTAAAAGAAATAAAAAGTGAAAGCTATTTTAAAACTAAACACAAAAAAGAAACGTTAAAAAAAATGAAAACTTACCGGTAGAATGACTGGATGGAATAGTTTGACATGTAGATAATTTGGATGATTGTTGGTATGGACTTAGATTAGCTAATGATGAATCATTTTCAGAGGATAAACCATAAGTTGACCAGTATTTTTGTCTAAGAGTGACCATATTTTTTGATGGCATTCTCGACTGATGGTGAGGTGGTGGTGAATAGTAATAAGTTACTTGTGAAGCGGAAGATGGTGATTGTTTAAGGTTTAACTGTTTTTGTTGACTATTGTTTTGTTGATTATTTGTCTTGATTGAATTCACTTTTTCGCACATCATAGCTCCAAGTGATTTAACCTTGATTGTACTTCCATAAAGGTCGAAGAAAGGATAGAAACTTTGAGTTTGATCAATATGCATCAAAGTAATTGGAGGTTGACGGTTTTTGGTCATAATAACTTGGCCAGATTCAGTTATTTTAAATGCAATCTCATCTCCGGCAATTGGTTTGTTGGCAACATCTTTAATTACAATCCAATACTCTGGGCGGTCAAGAAGGATGTGAGGATCATCAGGTAAATCATCAGTATTCAATGTTGATGGATTACAGGTTGTTAAACCGAAAGCTAAACTTCCAGTGTACAATTCATCCGTTTTAAGTATCTGGATAACCATTTTCTCACCTAAACGTAAGGGTCGCTGAGAGAAAACGTATCCACGGGAATATTGAGAGTCACATCGTTCAGCAACACATCTATTGATGGGTTAAAGTAACAAGAGAGAAAGAAAAATAGTCATAATTAGATGCTGTTTTATAATTAAACACAAACATAGTATCAAATGACAAAAAACGAGAAAGCAAACGAGATAAACAAGTAGAATCATTTTTAACTCATTGTTTTCATTCAAGAAACAAGAATTGTTGGACAAATTATTTACATGAATGAAATAATTAAATGCGCAAGATTATGTTTTACTATGAGAGAAAAGAAATTAAATATTCAAGGTTTCTCATCTCAGATTTTTCCCTAACCTTGACATCCACTAAGGGCAACATCATCGTAAACATCAACAAGGCTAAAGTATTTGCTAGTTAATTTTTTCCTCTGCTACATTTTTTTTCTCATTTATCACACCTCATTGCATTATCTTTCCATTTTTTGCCTTTCCGTTTTTTTTTGAGTTGAAAAACAAGAAAATAGCAATAAGAACTTACCCATCACTGGATAAAGTGATGTTACATCCTCTAGTCCTATGGAAAGGTAACGGTGATAGGTTATTTCCTCGGTAAATTTGAGGTAAAGGTTCTCGGTTGACTGCCGAAGTTCGTCGAATAGTTGAATATTCAGGGAGAGAAGAAGATGAACCGGATGGTGATGGTAATGATGATGATGATGATGGTTGATGATGGTGATTAGGAGTTGAATAGATGGATTCGGTTAACCTGTTTTCACAAATATACCTTGAATCTATGGAAAAGAGAGGGAAAATTGGAAAAAGAGGAAGAAGTGGATTAGTTGTGATAAATAAAGGTTAGGTAAACCAAAAAAAAGGAATTATAGGTAGAAATAATTGTAAAGAGAAATCCATAAAGGAACAAATTACTTGACAAGGTTAGGCTCAGAAGGCTAGGTTAACCTATTAAGGTTGATTGTTAGCACAGGAAAGAGAAGCTTGGTGAGGTTTTATAATAAACTAATGATGATAATACCTAGAATAGGCTTGGTAGTAACTTAATATTTCATTTTGTTTTTGATTCTTAATTTATTTCATTTTATTTTCATTTAATTTAAACTTTTTTTTGTCTCATTTAATCAACACGCTCAAAGTAAAATAATTTGGTGATATTGATGTACAAAAATGCATACTTTCATTACATAGCTGTATGATAAGTCTCTTTTGAGAGAAACACGAAAAAAAGTTAGATTCGTTTATTTGATAATCGCCTACTCAAGGCATGTTCTTGCTTAATGTTCATACCAACGCCCTTTACAAGCCTCCTCTTCAATCTTTCGCCCTAATTTTCATCTTCTTTTTCATTCTTGATCGCCTCTTCATTCATCATCTTCTTCTACTGGTCTGTTTCAAGTTGATGGATAGTACAAGAATAGTTGAAAAAGGGAAATAAAATATTGATCTTTATTTGAGTAGGATGTTGACCGAATCATTATTGGACTATCTACTGAACCATGGAAAATTAAGTTTCCACACTTTTTTTCTTACATTATCACCAATCAACAGTTAATATTTTTGCAATTAAATTCTCAACAATTTTTTTCCAATTCAACTGAAACATGTCAAATGATAGGATTCAAACTAAAAATGTAAGAACGATTTCGGGATGTTTGATTTAAAATTTGAGTTATGAATACTTGAATGGTTGCTACTTGGATTTCAAATGTTTACTTTCAATGAATGATTCAAAATTAATATTGATTCTTACCTAAAAATCTAATTGCAGTGGTAGATCCATAAATATCGAGTAAAGCCCATATCGTTTTTGAAACATCAACTTCAGTTAAAAATACTCCTTTGTCATCACCGTTGATTGAGTAATGAGCTTTACCAGATTCATCGACCCAGTACGATAAAACATTTTCGACAACACCATAACGATCACTTAATGCTTTGGCCCAGAATCCAGATTTAGAGGTTAACTCAGGGCAAGCATATTTGGGTAGTTGACCCTTCAATTTGATTGGATCTGTTGTAGTGAATCCAAAACGAAGAGCACCATTCCAATTGGTTGAAGAGGTCATAAATTTAATTGAAACATGTTCGCCAACTTTAATTGGACGAGATGAGAAAACAATTCCTTCACAAAAACTTTCCAATCGTTCAGCAATGGCTCCATTGCCAGATAAACGAATATTATCACCATGAACTTGGTGAAATAAAATGGCTGTAGGTTGATTGGTAATATTTTTATCCTGTTTATGTTTAGGACATCGAGCTGTAATAATGTAATGTAACCAGGCACAACACAAGGGGAAAGAAAAGTAATAGAAAAGGCAGAGCAGAAGAAAAATCGATATTAGAATCAAAATAGAAAATCAGAAGGTAAACAGTTTGGAGTGGAAAACAGAAGATTAATACTTACTTATATTCTTAATTTTTTTAAGTATCTTCATTGTGAGTTTGTATGATGAGAATATGTATACACAAGAACAAGAACAGTAATAATTATCCGAGATATGGTAACAATTAAGGGGAAAAAAGCTAGATGAAGTAGATGACCAACAATAATAAGAAACAAGAATCAAACTGTAGTCATGAGCAAGAGCAAACGAATGAATGAAAACAAATTTTACAAACAACCAAGAAGATGAAAATCAGAAGAGAGAGAAGCGCAGACTCAAAATGTGTAAAAGAGAAGATGAAAAGAGAAAGAGAAAGAGAGAGAAGATCGGAAATGGGGAAAATGATGAAGATGAAAAAAAGATCGGATAGAGAGAGAGAGAAAGAAAGCTCTACGGATGTATACCATATGCCATTGAATCGTAGGTTAAATTTTCTTTTCCCTCATCATCTTATTCTTATCCATTGGTTCGTCTCTCTCATTTCCTTAGCAAGATTAGCTCACTCATCGCTCAACACAGCGGCTGTTGTTTATCAGGCTTGTTTTTTTTAGCTTCTCTCTCCCTTACAACATCAACATCTCCTTTGACTCCTCTCCATCTCTGTCTGTTGAGGCCTTGTTTATGCCTTTTGGTCGCGTGGCTCTTTATCGACATCAAACGACGTCTGTTCACTTACTCTCTCTATCTTCCTTATACCCTTAATGACTTAACGCGTGCCACGCGAACACGTACAACATTTGCTCAATACTTTAACTGACATCTGCCTTTGTATCACTTTTCTTTAGTCTTTCTTTCATCCTCCTGGCTCTTTCTTTTTTCCCTCTTTACCATCTTGTTCTGCGTCTTCTTGTGTGCCAACAGCTTCCGATTTTTTTATTTGGCTCGTGGCTCTCGTTCAACTTCTATTTCTTATGTTCTGTCTCTTTAGTCCTTTATTCTCTGTCCTTTTCTTTTCGGGTTAATCTGGTTCGCTCCTTTTCTTTTCTCTTTACGACCCTTTAAGGTTCCATTTCAGTCCAAAATTAGATCCATTTTCATTGATAATTTTATTCTTCTTGGCAAATGTTTCCATCTTGACCCTTTATCTTGTCTCTTTTTTTGCTTTAAATTTACTTTTATTTAAAGATAACAGGTCCAACTCGTCATTTGTTACATCATCAATTCAATTTTAGCTGCATCCATTGATGAGGCAATAATTATCAGCAATTGATAATCATTCCAACACCTTTAAAAGATACTGTTAAAGTTGATGAAATAAAGCCAGTTATACCCTTTATCAGATATAAAAAAAAAATAGTTTAATCAAAAAAACTGTCTCAAGGTAGCTTTGTAATCTTGTCATAAACACTTTTCATCAAATAACCAAGCATTGTTTGAATCCAAAGATTATTAAGATTATGCGAAATACAATTAAAAAAAACTTTTCATCCAATGCAGATTAACTGGTTCAACTGGTATCCAACTGAACTTATGAAATTCACTTCACAGGATAAAACACAAACATCGATTCACAGACAGCTAAACTTTATCAATCTATTGGTATAAAATCACAAAATCAAAAGCAAAATGATAAATGAGATTAAAAGTGTTAATGAAAACATTAAAGATTGAAAAATAATCTAAAAATCGATACCATTTTGAAGTCGAATGATGAAAATATTAAAATTGAAGCGACTAAAAGTCTAGACAACAAAGAGTAAAGAAGAAGAGACT